ACATTAGTAGAAATTGTTGCATAATTTGTGTGGCCTAGTATCAGATGAAAGTGAGAACATTCATATTAAAAAGAGAAAGAAAAAAAACGTTTCTTTTACTTCCACAGTGTCTCTTGACCTGGAAAATATTGTTTTTATTTGCCATTTAACATTATGTTTCCTAGATTATATGGGTAGTTATGAGGTGAAGACAGACTATCACAGGTCTTTTTGGTCCTGCCCCATGGCCCTGATCTACTCTAAGGTTAGCCAAGGCCTCCCCCAGGAGAGGAGGATGGCAGTAATTCCTGGGCAGATAAGGTGTTTGAGAATCTGTCTAAGAAGTCACTGGAGGCAGGACTGCATGTGAGCCTATACAGGTGCTTCCTATCCCACTGGAATACACAAATTCAAAGGTAAAATTAAGAATCTCAAGACTGAGAACAGAGCATTGAAATCCATGCCTGGGACATCCTTCTATACATGGGGCTTTGTGCACAGTCAAAACCTTTTAAAGTTGGCCTTTTACCTAATAAACATTTGTCATGTAGATTTATGGCTTTCTCTAACTTCCAGTTAAAAACTATGCATAGCAAGGGTGAAGTGATGGAAGCATTCAGCCCTGGGTGTAATCATTGAGAAAGTGAATTGTCATGTATAGAAATTTATGAATAATAATAAAAATCAACTAAGTCAACTCTGCTTTTTTAATTGTTCCCAAGCACTAGCAATTCTAAACATCAGTCATGATGTTTTTTAATAAAATTCTTTTATTTTTCTAAGTTCTAAACAATTGTGTCTATTGTTGAGTTTTAACAATATATATAATTCAAATTAGAACATCTTTAAATATTCTTTCATAATCATTGTATTTTTTTTTAGTTGTAGGTGGATATAATACCTTTATTTTGTTTATTTATATGTAGTCACGGGGCCTCACATGTGCTAGGCTAGCACTCTACAGCTGAGCCAAAACACCAGCTCATCATTGTGTTCTTTATAAATAGAGTAGATTTAAACTGATTACACAGTGATTTTAAGACAAATAGCTAGAAATTGAGTCACTTCAATTCCTATTATTTTATGTGTTCATTTGGAGTTCTGAATTTAAAAGTTTTAAAAAATTATGGTGAAAAAGTGTGAACTGCAATTATGATAATTATGGAGAGAAGGTGAAGCTGGTCAATGCAAATTTATTTCATACATGAAGTATTTGAATCTGAACAACTTCTAAATTTATTATTCTTTTGAAAATTATTAATTACTTTAAATAACATATCAAGAAAGTGATGATTATTACTGAAAAATAATTTTGTCATAGAGAGAGAAAGAGGTTTTTAAAATGTTTAGGTATCAAGTATACTAAGTAAGCCACTGATTTTTCTATTCATTGCTATTCTTTTTTCATAGCAAGGATTAAACCTTGTCAAGTACACAAAACTTATTATGTTGCTAATATCTTATGTTAGATATTTTGATTTCTAAACCAGGTAATTTCTACATTCGAGGTGGAAAAGAGATTTTTTTTCATTTATAATGTTAAAAATATTTGAGAAAGAATATAAATACTATTTTCTTTTTATAACTTGTTTAGATGATTAACTCAATTTTTACTTTTTAGGATAGTCTTGGTTATAGGAATCCAACTGATTAAATTATAGTACTATTCATCTTTTATGAAGGATTTCTTCTTCCTCCATCCCCAACTTTCCCTTTTCTCCCCTTCTAAAAAAAAGTACAGCCTCACTGAAATACCTCTCCCTTGTGGTCCTTGCCCCTTCTTATTTATTCCATTTGGAATTTCTGTGTATTTATCTGCCTTCCCCACTAGATAGGAGGTCTAGAAGAGTGGAAATATATCTCAGGCCATTAGTACAAAGTCTTTCAGATACTCATTAATTCTAATTTGGATCCAGGAAAATTAAATTTAATGATTCCTTCTTCTTAGTTTTTAAAATTAAAATGACAATGTGCCCAGAGCAATTAATTAATATTTATTTTTCATATCTATATGATAATTATGGAAAGAAGGTGAGGTTGGTTAATGGTGAGAACAGGAACGTAGGAAAGGAAGAACACAGAAGCAAGGAAGCTTGTTCTTTGGGGGATCTTAGGTACAGTGTATGTCTTCTGTTCTCTTGGGCATAATGGTAATGCTTACTGTAGAAGGCATCGTGTGTCAGAAAATGAAAACCCTATTTTGTGTGGTAATGTCAGGTGATCTGCACTGATATTGATGATAGAGGTCAGAGCAGTAGAGTAGTAGCTGAATTTATGTAATGGTGATTTATATAGGTGGAAACCCTTTTATGTATAGTAATGTTTTGTTGATAAGTGTAAGGTATTACTAGTAAAAATATGAATGTATGGTATTGGAAAATACCTATTCCTCAAACAGCGTAATTGTTTTTCAAATAAAAGGGAAATGTGACTGAGGCAAAAAAAAAAAAATTAAGCAACAGGAACAAATCTGGAAAACTGTAGGGTATTATCAGAACTTATTCCAAGTTTTGTTTTTGGTCCAGGTTTACATCAAATATTATGCTTCTTTTAATCTGTCATCAGTTTTTATCAAAGGGAATATACTTTCTTGGAACTAGTTGAATTCAAACCTTGTTCAGAATTAGCTCAAATACTTTAGGAGAACCCAAGTACTTAAAGTGAGTGACATCCTAGTTAAAGGAATATTGTATCTTCTTTGGTGGACCAAATTTGCCTTTCAGGTCAGTAGCTTTTGTAATTGTGCTATATTGATAGAGTAAATGCTTAAAGATGTTTTGGATAAAATAAAGACAACTATAGAAACTTAAAGTATGATTAATATTCATAGAAGGGGCTGTTGCTGCAACTCAGTGGTTAGGGCGCTCACCTCGCACATGCAAGGCCCTGGGTTCCATCATCAGCACCACATAAAAATAAATGAATGAATGAATAAATGAATGAATGAATGAATGAATGAATGAATAAATAAATAAATGTATTGTGTTCAACTACAACTACAAAAAAATATTAAAAATACTATTTAAAAAATATCTTATAGAAATCTGTGGATCTCTTAGATGAATGTGACTTCAAGGCTTGATTTCAGATTTTATGTGTGTTGAGTTTAGAACAGGTTGGCAGTGGGATGTGAATGCAGTTTATATTTGTTTTGGGCTCAAAACATCATCACCACATGATTCATTTGAGTGTAAATAAATTTACTTCCTTAAACAGAACAGCAAGGCTCTATAATTTTTTTAACTTAATCGCTATGTTAAATAAGTTTAATGGTTTTTCACATTTGGAATAAATTAATAATTGATAAATGCATAGCTATAGTAAGAGATAGATAAACATAAAATTCATTTTGTAATTGTAACAAATTACCACAAA